CCATTTGATTGCGTTCATGTTTGGGAAGTGGTGATGCACATACTGCTGTGTTGAGTACACTTTGATTTTGTTGCGAAGGAGGGGACAAACATGAAAGCGCAGCCATGGGCTTTGTGTTTGAAAAGGTTGGCGTTGGACACCGGTGTCCAACACCACACCACAGTGCGCTTTCAATCCACTCTACCGTACACAGAGATGTTTCCATCACGCGGGTGGAGGGAGACAAGTATCACGCCAGGAGAAACGACACATCAGCTGGCCACCCGGCGACCGCAGAAGACCACCGAATTTCGGGCAGTTCACCGGCGTGCACGGCATGGGGTACAAGACGGTCACCAGATGCACGTCTCCTAACACCAATATCCATGCCACCCCGCATTGTTGAAACCGTCATGATCTGCATTCTCATGCGATCTCAGATCCCCGAATCGTCACCCCTTCCACTCGTCCAGCACCGACACGCCCCAGTCCTGCTTCCACTCCACCGTGCAGTCCGACTTGGGCCTCGAGGAGCACGTCAAAATATAACCCGCCGCCAGCTGCTCCGGGGACAAGACGCCCTCAAGGTCCCCAGCCTCGCTCATGTCCACCTCTGCATCCCACACGACCACACGCATTCACCACAAAATCCAGCCGGCGCGAGCCCGACGTGATGGCGACAAGCCAACCTCAAGCTTGCCCGTGGAGTATACGCGTCACGGGTCCCAATCGCTCTGCGTCGTGCTCATTACCGTCATCTGATATGCCGCCCCGATAGAGCGTGATGGACAGAGAGCAGCGACGGCCCTGCGGCGTCTTCGAAGCAGCGCTGCGGACGGACTGGAGGCAAACGCACCTCCTGATGTGAGCTTACACACGCAGGTGCCGCACATGCCGCCGCGGCAGCTGGCGGGTATGTCCACGCTGTTCTCCTCGCCCACGTCCAGCAGGAAATCCGACTCGGAGGCCTGCACCCGCACTTCGGATCCGTCCTCTCCCACGTAAGTGATCTGATACGCGCGCACAGGGGCGCATGGCCTTGGCCGCTGCGCCCCGTGCAGGCTGCGGTGCACCGCGGGGAGTCTGCTGACGGCGCGCAAGGCCGTGCCGGTGGAAGTTGCGGGGACGCTTCGGGGTTGCATTGTTCGCGGGAGTGGCCGGGCGCGACCGTCTGGAAAGCGGCTGGGAACGGGGCGTTGGGGCCCTTCACCACGGCATTTCCTTGGATTTGAGGGCAGGATGAGGACGCAGGTGTCTGATTATGGGACATTGATAACATCCGTCGAAGCCACTCTTGTATTTTGCGATGTCGTAATGCAAAAACCCTTTTTGCTTAGGTTCCTGCTCGCCAACTGGCGAGAACATTTCTTTTGATGTATCATCATCGCTTCTAAGTAGTAGGAGTTATAAAAGACACATAGACATTGTTTGTGTTTACCGTTAAATTTCAACGAACTGATCACAGACTCTGCTTTCCTCACTCAATATAGGAAGCTGACGGCTACCTCGTTGCCTTGTTCTGTAAAAATGATGATGATGATGACACAGCGGTAATGGACGGTTAGTTGCCCCCCCCCCGCTCACAATGTGCGAGCCAGCAATCTCATCGTGCAGTGCCCTGACGAAAGGACGCCGTCGTTGGTGTGGCGGTAATCCACGTACCTTAGCCGCGCCAGACGGATGCAGACCAGGCCTGTCCTGCAGCGCAGGCGTAAGTGCCAGACCAGCTGTCACAATGGGTTGGTAGGTGTCGAGTGCAGTCCCGATGGACGGGAGGCACCGCGGTCGCCTCCTTCCCCAAGGCAAAACGAGATGCGGCACTTCACTGTCCAAGGGGAACAACTTGGAAAACAAACACATGCACAGCAACGATGGTGAGTCCAGAAAGAGTTATTCTCGCAAGAATGTTCCATGCAGATTTATGCCACAAAACGTGTATTTCAGTCCCCGGTCCTGGCCACGTTCTAGTCCCCGGTCTGGCCACGTTCCAGTCCCCAGTCTTAGCCAGCCCCTCGAGAAGCCTCCCAAGCTGCAATCCCCGTACAAAAACCCCTGAGCTTGTCCCCAATCTTATCAAGTTCTCCAATCACCTGTCCCCAACATGATACAACCCATCATAACTTCCTTACACCCAGCTCAATTCATTCTCTAGCAAGCGATTCCAGTCCCCAACAATCGCGCTCAGTCCAAGCACGTCCCTCTCTAATGATCCAACAATCAAATTAGTAAAATATGATGAAGTCAATAATGGCCGTTGATGCATTCTTTAGTTCTGGCCTTGACATGCCATCAAAACGAACGCACTTAACTAAAATAGCTTACTGATGATGAATTCCCGGCTCCTGTCTCCCTCATTGATGACTCATGCGGCTCGAGACGTCATTTCTAGATCAATTTTGCAAGGCTCAGCTCACGGCTCCGTTACAGCTTAGTCATATGTCGGGGGTCTGTACATTGGCGCCACAGCAAGGGTAGCTCTCTCCAGGTGGACTCCAGGCCATTGCGCAATAGAACAGGATAATCAGTATATCATTAACTCACTTATTCCAGGCCATGCTCAGCAACTCAAACAAGGTTGCAGCAGACCAGATAAATCAATTAAACAACTAATAATACACACCCTCAAACAGGTCATCTTGGTAGGGGCGTTTTGAAAATCGCCACATTGACGATGAGCCAGCCTCTCGCCCCAGTTCAAACCTGGCAATGCGTTCATCCTTGGGAGTGGGAGCCAGGATGGTGTTTCTCCGCTCCAGAAATCATGTTAGTCCCCCCAGCATATTTTTCCAGTAGAATCAACTCTATAGTGGTCTGGTAGTCATCTGGCACATTAATTCCACAATGCGCCCATGGCAGACCAGTCGTTTCGATGTTCTGATGAAGCCATTTTGTCGCAAGCGTTCCAGCAGAAGGCTCCTCTCAGTCACCAGGCACAATTGTCCTGCACCCAGACCAAGGAGAAGTTTGCTGACAGACAGGAGGTGGCCCACGGACCTGACTTCTGCTCACAACACGGCGTGCACATTCTCAGCTGATATCTGGCGGACGGGTACTCCACGCACCTGTCCCCTTCTCGATCGTGAGCAAACGGCGACGAGAGACGAACAAAGGGCTTTCCCCGATCGGGAACCCCCTGTGGCGACACCCCGAGCGAGTGAGGCATGCAGAACCTGCGGCGCGGATGCCTGCAGCTGGTCGGCCCCTCTCGCCTCGTCGCAACGGCACTACGCAGCGGCGCAACTGATGTGCCATGCTTGCGCCTGTGGACAACCGCTCGAGGAAGCGGCTATGCGCAAGCCCGTCGGTCGAGCGGCATTTGCGGCTTGGAGGGCCGAAACGCGGGGCTGCGATCATGCGTCAATTCCTCCAAGTTGCCCATCGGTGCGCCTCGCGGTGGGAGGGTATTCTCCGCGTCTTCGGGAGGGGCTGGAGGTGGAGGTGGGATTTCTAAAACTTTGGGTGGCGGCGGTGGCGGGGGAGGGGAAGGTGGCGGGGGCGTGAGTGCTTGGGTGGCGGGCGTGTGGGCGGCATACCTGCGGCAGCTGGAGATCAGGCCTGTGATCACCAAAATGTGGACCTCCGGGCTGTTGAATGGATTTGGGGACGCGTTGTGCCAGGGCATGTTCAATGGGGATTCGAAATTTGACTTCCATCGGTTTGTCGTGTTCACGGGTCTCGGCGTGTTCCTGGTGGGGCCCGCTCTGCACTATTGGTACACAGCTCTAACCAAGATATTCACGGTGCCGGGAACCAAGGGCGTGCTTGGATCTCTGGCCCTTGACCAGCTCGCCTTTGCGCCGACCTTCTGTGGAGTCTTTATTTCCATTTTGATGACGCTGGAGGGACAGACAGCGCAAATTCCTGCCAAATTGAAGCAGGATTGGTTCAACACTGTTGTGATGAACTGGAAGATCTGGGTGCCTGCTCAGCTCTTTAACTTCTGGCTTGTACCGCCAACTCTTAGGGTGCTGTGCGCAAACATTACTGCTCTGGTGTGGAACGTGTACCTCTCGTTTGCAAGCCACATAGCAGTGGAGGAGACTAAGTGAAATGACGGCTTTGCATAGGAAGATGCAGGTATGCCTTGGAGCTGGTTTACACACTGAGGTTTTTCAACCTGCTCGTCAAGCGCCAAAATGAGGGGAATCGAAGGGCTGCATGTTGTGGTCTATGCGATCAGTGCTACTTGCAAGCTGTAGTTGTGTGCACATCCCCCTTACAGCAAAAAGAGCTTCGGAAGTGTCTGCTTTTGCGACAGTGGCCTTGTCCCCTCCAGCAGTCGCCAAAGCCAGCAGGTCTCCAGGAAGCCAACATAGATCATGGATAGAGGAGATTGACCTTACATTGGTGAGAATGATAGGAAGAGATTGGGCACTTGGAGCAGGAGTTGGGGCTGTACTTGTTTCCGCTGCTCCTTAATTGCCTTTCGATTGCCTTTTACTGCAATGAATGCGGTGATATCCAAGGAAGGATGGATTGGACAGAACATGAAAAACTATGTGGGCATATTGGGCAGTATGCCATGAAATGTTGGGGACCAACCCAAACCGTACAATGTTTTAATAGTATGCTCATGGAGCATGGTCTTGGGTGCCAGCAGTTCAACAGCACGTTTGACACTGAGACATTGTTTGCTGATTAGTTTTGCTCCATGCAAGCATACATGCCCAGGCAGTTCTGTGGTTTCGGGGGAGATGGATACACTTCTCAGGTTACTGCAATCAACCAGCGGACCTGACCTGTGCAAGCAACCAAGCCACGTCTGCTGTGTATGTCTGGGGCTTCTTGTTCGTGGCAGTTCATATTGTATCTGCGTGTGTAGGATGTGTAGGTTAGATCCAAGCTGAAGTAGAACTAGTTGAAGACATGCTTGTAGACTTGTAGTTGTAGACATTCTTCACCTGTGCCCCATGTGCTTACCAAGGAATGACACAGTATTGACCACAGTGTTGCCCCTTTTCTCACCACCCTTTCCCCTGGCAAAATCACTGGTTGTGTATATGCGGCAGCAGCACTCATGATATGGCCACATTACTCCCCGATCCCGCTTCAAGAGAGATTCCATTGTTGTGCGACATGCCATTCTTGAACATGAACAGGGAGGGACATTCCAAGTCTTGTCCATCTGGGCTGTTCAGTGTCCAACATTCCTTTCTGGTGTTGACCTTGGAGGCCGCTAGCAACGTGCGCGTGTGCCCAAATACAGGCGCCTGGTTGAACCAGGTAACCAGCTGGCACACGTTGTTGGAGGAGAGCACAGACTCCACTGTCTCAGGTGGCTGAGCTCAGGGAATGGATGGCTCACACCCAGAGCGAACGCTGACAACTAGGCAGAGCCAATTACCTTCGAAGCAATGGAACAAGTAAGAGGGATTGCCTGTTGATCAACAGTCATGATTCGTTCATGATTGAACGACAGTGTCCCCATTGAAGGGCACACCAGCGAGGTGGCTTGCCAGAATACATCTCAGCACACTGCATTTGGTCCCAAGCAGGTTCCACATTTGTGAAGCTGGCAACGACGCCAGTCTCTGGATTGCAGGGGCGGGACGCATGCTTATTCGGAAAAATGCACCAGAATCCAACTGGCCGTTGCCCGGGCGCTGCATCCATGCACTAACACGGGCACGATGCCCCCCATTACCATGCCGCCATTGTCAATTCGCGTGCCGTCATGAGCAGCAACCCCCGAGCCACTTTGGCGCCTTTTTCGCCGTTGTGCGTGTTTCTCGACCCGAAGCGAGGAGGCACCGCAGATTCACTGCTCGGCACAATGCCGCTGCGGCGAAGGCGCTGCGGATTCGTGCAAGGGGCAAACTTCAGCGGGGAAAGCTCCTCTTACGGTACGCACCAGCCGGAATCCGAGATGCCAACGCCTGCGGTTGTCAGTAGTGGCCGAGTTTAGATGCTGGCGCGCGATCGTGTGGTTTCTAGCGCGCTCAAGTAGAGTCTTTTCGCGTCCACCGATCTGTGCTTTCGCGCGAAATTGTTATTTGCGAGGATTCTTTCGTTGAGATATCTGAGAGGTGAGCGTAGTGCCCACGGCTTTACACGCACCTTCCACTGCATCTTGTAGGTTTGAGCCGTTGCCTTGTGCGTTGGGTCAGTTGACGGATCCCTTGGCATGGAAACTTGTTCTCAGTTTGGAAGGCGTGCATTGGCGTGACGCTCTTAGTCTGCTGCTGATGTCTACTTTTTTGGGCTTTTGTCCGTTCCAAAGGATCGGATGACTTCATTGTCGACGACAGCGACGCGACTGCTAGCGAGCCTTTTCAAGACACTACGGGAGGTGCCTGGAGGCGGATTGAAGACAGGTGTGCATCTGAAATATGGGAAATATGGGAAAATGGAAGTTGTGGGGAACATGGCGAATATGTATTCATCATCCATGGTGGGCATGAGCATGCAGGCACCGATGTATTGTAGAAGTGGATGCCGCGATGGGCTGAGACAATTCGCAAGTGTCAGCCGTGCGCTGTGTGGATTTGACGGCTCATTTCTCTGTGGGTGCACAGATTGCCGTCATACGGGTGCAAAAGTGGGACCATATCCAGTGGTGGGAAGAAAACACCTGCATCAAAGCGAAAGGGCAGGCATTTACAGAAATGTGGACAGCATGTGGAAGACAGTCTTGAAGACTCCATCGGAGAGGTTGTTGACGTCTCACCACGGCGAAAACGGCGTGCAATACTGGACGACTTTGAAGATGAAGATGCTGAAGTTGCTGTAGGCACAGTTGCTCTGGAAAGCAAACAAGCACAATCGGGGGGGCGCAATCTCCGGCCACGAACTGGAAGAAACAAACGGCAGGGCACAAATGCACAACTGAGCAAGGATGAGAAGGGATATGGCTACACTCCCAAAAAGGCAACCCAGCAGGTGGCCAGTGAGTTTGGCAGCCATGCATCGCAATACAATCTGAGGAGCCACAAGAAAAGGAGCTGGGACAACCTAATCGGAAGTCAGACAAATGGCACAAGAAATACTGATGCGTTCAGGAGTGACCAGGCACCATCATCTCCAGTGGATGAGGTGACCAGCGGCCAAGAGCTGAAAGAGGATCTGCCCAGTCGCTCGCGGAAGGTCTTTGGTGATGCAGGAGGTGATGGCTGTGACACACCATTGGAACCTCCTTGTGTGAGAGAGGAGGAGAAATGCCAGTTGGGGACAGAGAATGCAGGTGTTGGAAGCAAAGCTGGCCATCGAGGGGTAGGTAGGAAGCGAAAACTGGTATCTGCAGGAAATGCAGCTGTTCTCAAGGAGAGCTCACTTGAAGATGACTTGCGCCGACCCTGTTGCGGGCAAAGTTCGGATGTAGGATTGCATTGTTTGTCTGAGGAACAAGCTCACAAGCATCTACAGACCAGAAAGCAGTGCATTGAGCTGACGGATTCTGAAGAAGATGCAGGCTGCCTGGATTTGGGAAGTGCCGGTGTTGAAGAAAACACGTCCTGTGCCGTTGCACCAGGTGTGTGTCCCGCACAACTATATCCTCACATATGTGCATGCTTGAATCAGCACCCTGTGGCTCCCTAAGTAACTACATCATTCGCCAAGCTGCTGGTGGGAGCTTGCCATTGTTCTTCTAAACGATGGTTCTCAGTGAATCCTGTAGTACCTGTTTACAAAAATGAAGCCAACGTGGTTTTGGTAATGTCACCAACTGATTGCACACCTGCAAAATTACTATGAAGCAATGCGGTTAGAAACGGATGCCTGCCATCGTGCATAGCGTGGTATTAGGCACAAATGTAAGTGCAGAATTGAAAACGTGGTTCCAACTGGTTTTCCTATGTTGCGTCCCTTACTGAGGAATGCAGAATTATAGCACAAGGCTGTAGGTATATTTTCAATAAATGGTGTACAATGCTTGTAGCCAGTTAGCAGCTATGCAGCTATTTTTTCATTGTGATGACATACAAACATAGTGCCGTATTTCTATCAGAGAATGTGTGGGAGATATGCACACTGGTGCACAATTGGCTGGTCTGGCTAAGCTATGCTGAGCACTTGGTTGGTTTGTTATGTTTTACAACATTTTACAACATACAGTGGGCTGCCTCCCAGGGCTTGTCCTGCGATAGCCAGTATCTAACTGTGCACCTCCTCAGCTTCAGGGTATTGTCCTTGCTGGTCATCATGCATCAAAGCTCATGTACAGTGCTTGCAATACCCTGATGGCTGCTCCAGGTTACCAACTGCATGTTGCAAGCACCCTACAAATGCTGGGATAAAAATGCACCAGCATGGGAAGTTGAGGAGGTAAACAGCTCAGCATGAGTAGTACCGTTGCCAAACTCTTTTTGCTGTCCTGTTTTCACCTGATGCACTGTGTGTCTCACATGCTCTATGGAACTTTCTCTTCCGGAATAAAACAAATGAATTGGTTTGGGAGGCTGCATTGGAATACCCACTTGCTTTTGTTGTTCCTGACGATCAAACCAGTCCAGAATGACATGATTGCAGCTGCATACGACAGTGGAAGGTGCACTTGCGCAGGCCTCAATTATGTGGTGGGCATCCTTCCTTTTTGTATGGGTGTCGTCATTATCTCCCACAGGGCTTTCGTGGCCATTTTGAGAGTATACCCACACAGATTCCTATATATCCGCAGTGCTCTTGGGCTTGAGGTCAATCAGAGTGCTGCCTGTTCAGTGTCTAGGGCGTTTTTTAGCCAACAGACATAGTGGATACGAGCAGCAGTGACGCAGGATGCACCTCCTTGCCCTCCTGTCCATGCAGAACTCCAGGTGTTAATGTCACTGACTAGTGTGCCAATTGTCATGCTATTGTGTCGCACACGCCAGGTGGTGATTTTGACCGTGTTTATTACTCATCTCAGTTTGTGTTGACTCAGTAGCAAAGCCAAGGAGGCATGCAAAGTCTGCACCCAGGACCATAGGGTTCCTGGAGCGTATCGCTCAACATCGGACACAAGTTCTGCACTCATCCACAAGCCCATCAGATTCCAATGATGGTGGAGAGGTTGGTTGTAATGTTTTCCCATCGCTCTTGTGCTGGCCATTTCAGCCTTGTGTGCATTGTGATCTTGACATAATGTATGAATGAATGTGCTTGGTGTCAAAATAGTCCTGCGTTTCAGACACCGCCATTCATCTGAGTTAGCAAAGTCAGCGAGAAGTTCTGAAGGATGCACAAAGAACCACATTTAGTGCTCATACGTGCTGGTGGCGTAGCTTCATTTCCATGGTAGGAATGGTCGTGTGCCTGCGGTCATATGCCTGCGATATTGCTTGCTTTGTGTTTCCACCTCTTCATGTATCGCTTCTGTTGGCAATGTGTAGAGCTCCGATGACTTGGAAGGGTTCATTGTTGAGTCAGACCACGAACTGGAGAAACCAAAGACTGGGAGGGGAGTGAACCAGGACCGTCCGATTCAGATGTCACTGGAATCCATGCCACTGCGCTCCTTCTTCAAAATCTACCTGGAATTCCTGCTGCAACTTCAGGTGCAAGATTCTGTGCAGATTATGTCAGAGTTCCAGCCTGGAACCATCTACTATGAAGCAGCGAAGAAGATCGAAGGGAAGCTGTGTGATGTCATGTGAGTTGTTCCTGTGGCAGTCGCAAGGATGGCTTGCAGGCTGCCCCCTGCTGATGGCCCTTTGTTCCTGTTTCCCAGGGCATCATGTGCTAAAGATTCACAAATAGATTGGCATCGCTTGTGGGACGATTCATGTTCAGGGCCCTGGTTTGAAATCACAGCGCAACTGATGCAAGCTTGCCCATCCCTTGACCGTCCTCCTTGAAACTTGCTACCGGCTTCTCCGTTCCAGCATTGGACTAATGGATTGCAGCAACACGCTCTGCAGTCACTCCTGAAGAAGATGTGTTGGACCAGTGCACAAACGGACAGTATTTGCGAAATCAACGCCTTCCGAAGAGATCTTTAAGCACTTGCTTTTCCTGAGAAAAGTTTGCAACATGGCCGTCGGTACTTCTTCAGCGCCCTTGCCAGTGGTTGGATTCCAAATGACAAATCCTTCTTTGATCTTTGTGCAGTGATTTTGTCGTGCTGAGCCAATCATGGAATCAACGCCAAAGCAATTTGTGCAGGATGGTAGAAACACGACCTGGAATCTCATTAGGGAATAGAAACAGGGGAGAAAGCTGTGCAGCTTGTGGCAGAAAAAGGTGTGTTGTGTTCCTGCCTCTTCATGCAACATGGAGGTTCCATGCCAAGCAATATTGTGTCACAGTTGTCCACCGTTAGGTCTCCGATGTACTTGTAGCCTGGAATTTCGTCCTAAGTGGAGCCAGCATTGTGAACCTAATGCCCAGAAAACGAGTGAGAATTGTAGAAAATGGATATCCCCACAGTGTTGCAACAAGAGTACATTCGTGAATTAGGATTGTTGTTATGGTGCTCTTGTTGTATCAGTCTGCTGTGTAGGATTGTGATCATATTTGGTTGGTTGGCACATGTGATACTATCCTGGCTAGTTAGGCATACACTTGTAGCTGTATGAAGGATCGCTGAACAGCGTGGACAGCAGATTGTGCAAGTCGTGTGAGTCCTTGCATGGCACTCTTTTCACCAGGTGTTGTGGACTGGGTTGTGGACGGGCTAAAGTACGATGGATGCACTGTGGAAAAGGCTCGCTGAAGAAGTTTGATGTGTTGTGACCAGGCCCAGTCCGGAACTGTGTTGCAGGACAGTGTCGGAATTGATGTACTTGCTTTCTTTCTTGTTTGATACATGTGAGCTCTGGATCTAGTGTTCTATAAATTTGGTCTGTAGTAAGGTCGCAGAGCGGCAACCTGGACACAACACCAGAAACACTGGTGGCCACGGCGTTTTGTGCCTCACTGAGTGCACTGACTTTCCTGCCGTCACATGTGCTCTAGGAACAAAGCAACTTATGTGCTGGCATTCAGTGGGCCTGTGTATGAGCCTCAATGGCTTGTGACCCAGCGATTAAGGACCGTTGGAAGGACTGGAGGTGAGGAAGACGTTGCAAGCAGTGGTGAAGACGAATCCGACAGTGAGCACGACCAGGAGGGAGTCCCATATTCCCTTTGCGTGGGCCGTTTCTGTTGTGTGCGTCTCATGTTGTACCATGCAATGACACACTTCAAGTGGAGAGTGACAGAACGTCTGAAGCGTGAAGTGGAAGGGAGGTGTGCATCAGAGGTATGGCAAGCTTGCTCTATCCGAAGCGCGTGTGCTTCCACCCTGTGTTGACAGCAGCGGATGAACTGCACTCGGAAACAATGACAGTGGCGCCAGTAAGAAATTCGAAATGCTGCGCCACTCTGGTTAGAACCCCTGATCCATTCACGACAATTTGATGGACAGCAAAGTTGCCACAGCGACCAGATCTAGTACCTAATGAGCACCTGCAGCCCCGGGAACACAGGAGAAGCCCAGAAAGAATCGTGAAAGCCGTGAAAGCCGTGTGCAAGCCGTTCAAATGGCATGCTTAATCCAGGAATATCTTGAAGAAAGGAGGGCTGTTGTGTCTACGGAGCTACAGCATATGTCCTTGTTCCTTGCTTATGGTGAAGTCATTTTGCAAGAGCCACACTAGTGTGTACACATCGTGGAGTTGCACCATCGTGCTAGAGAAGCAGAGCATGTGCATGTGGTTGTAGTACTCAAGATAGTTCCATGTCCATGATCTGCCCAGTGTTGACTTGGGACCATCCTTTTGGTACCCCATGATCTGGTGGCTGTTCTGTCTACAATCAGGAGGGCCCTCTCTCTGGTGCTCGCTGAATGGGCTATGATTGCTTTCTGTGTTTTCTGTGCTCCACTGCAGGAACGCATTGCCGCTGTTGTAGGAGACGACCACTTGGTGTCTACTCTGTTCAATGGCTTTGAAACACTGCACGACCTCTCCCAGCACTACATTTCAAACCGACAGCCATTCAGTATGGACAAGTGCCCCGAAGACCTTTACTCTGAGTTGAAGCACTTGGAGCGTTCCATCTGGGGTGTCGCGAAGCCAGCGGTCGAGGCCCCAGTGAGCTCGAGAGAAACGGAGTCTCCACGGCAGAGCGAACCATCGCTGTGAGATGCACCGATTCCGTGCCATTGCTTTGAGAGACAGAGTCACAGAGGCAACCGCGGCGGCCACCTCGGCGGCCACCTACCCCTGTGGTGTCCACTGCAACGGAACATCGTAGTTCTCATGGTCGCCACGAATGCGATTAAAGCGGTTGGTGAGCTTCTGATTAGGGAGATGTGGGTGGGTGCTGGCGATGCGCCAGGCTCTCTTTGAGGCGCACTTTCGAGGAGATCCAGGACTTGGTTTCAAGCAGTTAATGACTCCGTTGAGTATTTGCTGTGTCGGCCAGCAGCACCGCTACTTTTGCGGAGGCCCCAACGACTGCCACCTGCTTTTTTGCTCCCTCCCACCCATCGCTCGTGGATTGAGCTCAACTGAGATTGAAAGAATTGCCTACTACTGGGTGCGTTACTATTCTTGCATTGCGTAGCATAGTGTAACTGGGGTTCATGGGCTTTGTATTGGCAGGGATAGTGATGGACGCGAAATGTGGAGAAGTGTAATTGCCTTGGCCAGTGTGCGAGCACCGCCTGATTAAATTCCACCAAGCAGAACGGGCCTCCAGGAACCACCTTTCCCAACCTGGATTTGCAAACACGTGCCTGCAAGTGCCAAGAGCACGCGCAAGGCCAACCAGCAGCACAGCGTCTGACAAGTAGGTGTGGTCCACATGCTCGGAAGCAGGTCGCCCACAAGCTCGCATTGGCACATGTTGCGACAAAAGCGGACAGCACTCGTCTACAGCATTGGGTGCTGGAGAAGCCTCACACTGAAGGCTGAAGGGTGAAGAGACTGAAGGTTGAAGCGGGGTTGCTGCACAATAAGTCCAGATCAAGCGTATGGGATTGGGAGGCATCCTGACCCACCGGGGAAGAGTGCGACAGGGTGATGGAATAAATATTTCCACTGCCCATTTCTGGACCTCCCAGGTCCCCTCGCCGGGTGGGCGGTTGGGGCAACGCAAACATCAGGCATGACAATGCGAATATTGTTGCTTCTGCGAACAGACACTGATTCGAAAAGAACCGGTCCGACGAGCCAGTGCCCATCTGTTGTTGGGGCGGCACACGTGAGCCATACAATCAGGTGTTCAGGCGAAAATCGACGCGATACCACCCCACAGCCTAGCGTGTGTGCCTGCCTGCCTGTCCCCAGTTTTTGTCCGTCTGCATGTAATGGATCACGAAATTCGTCACCCACGAGACAGCCACTAACCGCACTGGCAGCACGTCGCCGGCAATGCGTTCCTTGCAATACGACCTTCGTCGCAGGATGAGCCGAAATTCAATAAAATCCATACAGCACGAAAAAACTGAGGCTGTTTGAGCGGTCGCCGTTCTGCATCGACCTGCTGATACCAAAGAAAGGCACACCACGAGGAAAACACACAGCATACACAGCGTGCAGGTTCTCACGACAATCCACAAAGTGGTGCTTTGTGACTGGGCGACAGATTTGTTTGGCAGTTTGGCCAGATTGGCAACTCTGAGGCGTTTCCTATCGGAGTAATGCTGCCCAGGTAGGCTATAAACGACACATCTTCAACGCACTCAATTGCGCTCCGACCTTGTGTGCTATATCCGCTGGGGTACCTGCTGCTTTCGTTGCGAAACGAATGTTCAACAGCAGCGGCAAATAGTTGACCAACAGGGGCAGCATCAGCAGTTACAGTGGAGCAAATAGCGGCATTGGCAGCATTGGCAGCATCTGCAGCAAAGGCAAACATGCACAGAAGACACTCGCGGTTTGCACCTTTGTGTGTGGGTGTAGCAGGTCCAAGCTATAATAACATTCGAGGTTCTTGCCAAGCACCTGTTTCAGCCGTGAGCCATGAAAAAAGGTCACAGCACACAAGAGAGGACACAAACACACAAGTCTGGGCCACTCATCTCACACAATTAGCCAAAGAACTCCTTGCATTCAATGAAAAGAAACTCCTTGCATGCCCTGTAGACAACGGCCTCCCTGTGAACCTTCATCCTGCACTTGCAGTCGGGTCAGAGCCCTATCCTTCACGCTGGTGTGCCGGGTCTCCAAGTGTGCATGCCCACCTCCCCCATGCAAGGGGCGATTGCCATGCAGCACGGCCACAGCCCACACCATTCACGCGCAGTGGGAGGAGCACAAAACAAAAGGTCAACCACAGACACACACAGCATCAGCCCTCAATAGCACACTGACATACGAAACGCCCAAAGTCGCCTTCCTTGTCACTCCAGCTCCATCAACATATCTTGACATCGCATCCATGTTTTCCTGTGCCGCACACGCTCACAACATAACCGAGGGTATGTAAGTCAGTTTCACCAACCATTGGCACACACCCAGCAATCCATTCCCATGCCGCTGGGCTCTGGCAGCAGTGTCGAGCTCCATCAGCAGCAGAGGAACCTCAGTTAGTGGCGAAGCGTTGAGTGGAATTGCTGGCGTTTTGAAACGTCCAGATCACAGCACTGGGCATCAGGATGGCAGCCCCCCCTGCATCTCCTGCATGAACCGCTCATACTCGCTCTGTACTTGACCTGCTGGCGGAGGGGGCACGCTTGGTGGAGGGGCGCTTGGCGGCAGCGGTGGCTGCTCCCTCCCTGCGTGAGGCATGGGATGTGGAGCACTGTACATTGGCTGGCTGTACTGCTGAGGCACCATGTACCCGTGAGGAGGAACCTGGGCTGGTGGTGGAGGGTAATGCCCCTGTGCCACTTGCTGAGGAGGGTAAGCTGGGGCCATGCCAGGCTGTGGTGCGACCATTCCGCCAAGCGGTACTTGCGGGATATGTCCCACCGGCACCATCGGCTGGGGTCTTGGGGCCGAACCCACCATTGGAATCACTGGGGGACGTGGGTAAGCCATAGGCACCGGGGGCAGTCTAGGCGGGCCGGGTTGTCCAAGCGAGTACCCTATTGGTGGTGCACCTGGAATGGGAACCAGTGGCCGGGGTGCCAAAACTGTGGCGTTGGCAGAAGTGGCCACTGTGCCAGGGCCTTGAGCTGGCCTCTGGCCTGCAATTCGGACAGTCAGCATCTTTCCCTCCAACCGATATCCATTGAGGCCTTGAATGGCACCCTGGGCTGCCTGTGGTGAAGCCATGTTGACAAAGCCATAGCCCTTCGCCTGACCCGTCACACGGTCAGTGATGAGCTTTACCTCCCCGACCTGCCCGTAAGGCTCAAACAGTTTCCGGAGGGTGGCTTCGTTGATTGAGAGGGGTAGGTGGGCCACATACAGCTTGCAATCGTCCAGCTCCTGTGTCCCATACTTTGGCTTCTGGGTGGGTGGACCCTCAGATCGCAGCCGCACAACAAGAGGGCGTCCATCCACTACTTTGCCGTTCATCTCATCTGCAGCACGCCTGGAGTCAGCATTGTTTGTAAAGTGAACAAAGCCGTAGCCTCTGCTGGCCCCCTTCTGCAAGTCCATCAGCACCGTCGCATGCATGATGTCCCCAAAAGGCTGAAACAGCTGCCTGAGCATCCCATCGCTGAAATTCAGCGACAAATTCCCAACATACAGCTTACAGTCGTCCGGCATGTCATCGCCAGGTCGCTTCATTCTTGCTGCAGCCCCATTGTCCTCCATGCCAGTGCTGCCAAGCGGCTGCCAGGGGCCACCGCCCATGGGGTCCACTACTGGGCCCCCACCCAACTCCATCAGGAATGACTTGTATTCGTTGTCCAGCTTGCCGGCCTCCTCAGGCCTTACACGAGCAACATCCTTCTGGTACTGCTCGTCCACCTTTTCTTGGATGTGGGTTGGCAGCTTGTAAAGGTCCATTGCTTTCTTTGGACACTCATAAGACCGATGGCCTGAGTCGCCACACAAGTAGCAAGTCTGGTCATCCTTCAGCGTGCCATTCAGAGCAGCTAATTCCCTGAGCTGCATTCGCTTGTGCTCGTTGCGCTCCTCATCCACAGGCTGCAGCAGTTTCTCAATCATGCTTGCTGCTTCATCGACCTGCACATTAACAAAAGACACGTCAGGATGCAGTGTTCACGCCCAACAAGCACTCAAGGATGGTCACAATGGCAACTACATCGAAAATTTCCTGTGCAAGAAACACTCTGACCTCCAATTGTGAAGTCAGTTACACGAGCATGTGTGTCAGTTGGTTCTTACTTCTTCCTGCTTGTCTCCTGTTATCAAAACATGGAGCTCCTCATCTTCGCCATAATCATACTTTGGATCCCTGGCTGCCCCTTCCTTCACTGAGCCCCTGCCACGAATTGCAATCTTTGTGTTTGTCTCTTTCTGCATCCTCTTTTGTGTGTTCCCTCGCGGGCCAATAATCAGCCCTATGAAATTATACCCAGGGAAGTCCTTCTGAGGAATGTAGATCTTCCTTGATTTCTTCTGTGGTTTGTAGTCTGCAGGCGCCTTGTAATTGCTGTCCTTCCTTATGAGTTCCTCAATCAACTCGTTCTTTCTCGCTAACAGCCTTTCCCTGTAACGAACCTCCCGTGTGTTCAATCGGATACCGATCTTGTCGTAGATGGGCTCTGGAGAGGGAGACCGTTCATGCTCCGGAGGCAAGTCCAGTTCGTTGTTCGCGATCTTGCGGCTCACATCTGCCAAGTTCTCATGCAATTCCTTGAGCTCAGGATCTGTGTGAAGAGGCTCACCAGTCAGGTGAGGTGGCAGGGTCACCTACACAAGGAAGCACACAACCCTCCAGTCAAACAAGCACTTCCCAAAGTGCAGCAAGCGAGGCACAAAACAGATACAAGGTTCGGCGCTTCACAGCTCTGTGTACTGCCCAAAACGATGAACATTGGTGTCAAGCATGGTTGCTCACTTCCTTGTCTCCAGGCAAAGATGCTTACCCTGATCCCACCAGGGAGAGTGAGCTCCTTTGGAAACTTCGGCACCACTGTCAGGGCCCCTGCCCCTGCATCCGCATCGTTCGTCTCCCACCGACTCCTCCGCTTCTTCGTCTTGCCTGTGCCATCCCCGCCTTCCATGCATGGCGCTGCTTCGGCCTCCACCGGACCCCACCTGTTCCTCTTCCTCCTTGCCGGAGCAGCAGCCGCAGCACCCAGCTCAGCAAAGCTGCCAGGCAATCCCGAGCCATCCACGCCCATGCGCTGATCGGCCTGCTGCTGCTGTTGCTGCGATTCCCACGGCTGCACCTGGCCAGCCGCAGATTCCTGCTTGGCGCCCTGGAACCCAAAGGACTCATACCCAGCCTGGCCCTGCTCCTGCTTCACTCCTTGGACCCCATACGCCTCATTGCCCATCTGGCCCGCCTCCTGCTTGTTCCCTTGCGCCCCGAACGCCTCAAACCCCCCCTGCGCTCCCTGCTGCGACGCCGCCACGCCGTCCTGCAATCCGCCCCGCGCTTGGGAGCAATCCCATGCCTTCTGTTCGTTCAAGTACCCGGCCCCTTGGCTCAGATCCGCTGGGCAGGCCGCCGTCACAGCCGCCGAGTTTGCGTTGTACTCTCCGCTCCCGCCCGTCGGCCACCCGGTTTCAATCCCCGGCGTCGTGTTGCCAGCGCCATTCTCAACGCCACCGGGCCCAATTCCATCCCCGTCCGTCCCGGGGAGGGAATCTGCGCCTCCCTGTGCAGGCCACCACGCCCTGCTCTGGTAGGCCGGCCACCGGCGGCAGATAGCTGCCCCATGGATGGATCCGGCTGGAAACACGGTGGGAGCGGCGCCTGCTGCGCGGCGGGCGACACGGAAGCGCAGGCGTACGCCGTGCCCTCGCCGTAGCCGCCGCTGTTCTCGAAGCCTTCCATGCTGGGGTCGCCGGGCTTCAGGAGGCCCCGGGGTCGAAGCCTGCAGCCAGGATGCAGTCGCGGGGCCCTCCCAGCCGCCCCGCCCGAGGGCGTCCGAATACCCACGGGATCGCTCGCCCCTCACTGCGCAATCGCGGCTCCGATCAAGACGAGGAGCCTCTGGGACGCGAAGGCAGGAGGCCTTGCCGCGACGGGCCGCCGGAGTCCAGCAAGCGGGGTCCTTCTGCCCGGAAGGGGGGGGGGGGGTGAGGATATGTTGGCGGTATGCCTGGGACGGAGTCCGCAGCAGTCCGGTGGTGGCGGGGTGGGAGTCACGCGCTTTCAATGCGCCGCATCAGGAAGCGACAAGACGGGTGCGCCGCCATTAATGCAATCTAAGTGGCCGGCAAGGGGTCTCTCCACAAGACCACCCGCACGCCCGCGAATTTGCTGTCCCATTGCTGCCAGGCCCCAAAGCCAAAGACCGACGGCGTGCTCCCCAGCACGCCTTGGCGCAGCGCGGCGGCCAAGAGGAGGCTGCGGAGGGCTCGGCGCGATGGCGGAGGCCGAACCCGTGGACCGAGTCCGCCACAAGCTTTCCCAAACGATTCAGCTCTACCTCGACAAGAGCACGCCCAAGGTCGCGGAGCGGTGGCTGGCCCTGGCGGCGCTGGTGATCATCTATACCGTCAGGGTGTGCCTGCTGCGGGGTTTTTACATTGTCACCTACGGCCTTGGGATCTACAACCTGAACTTGTTGATTGGGTTCCTGACGCCCCAATCCGACCCCACCCTGGAGGGCCCCGAGCTGCCTACCAAAGCGGACGATGAGTTCAGGCCGTTCGCCAGGCGGCTACCGGAGTTCAAATTTTGGCTGTCGTGCTCCAAGTCGTTCCTGACGGGTTTGTTTATGACTCTGTTCCCGGTGTTTGACGTGCCCGTCTTTTGGCCGATCCTTCTCATGTACTGGGTCGTCCTGTTCATGGTGACTATGAAGAGGCAAATCAAGCACATGATCAAGTACCGGTACTTGCCATTCAGTTGGGGCAAGACTCAATACGCGGGCAAGCCTGCCCCGAAGGAGACGAAATGAGGGACGTGCTGGTGGGCCCACCGTTTTGGAACGGGCCCTATTGCCTTTGCGGGGAAATTCTTTCCACAACTGGTAGCCACTGCAGGCTCCCGGGCTGGCACGGATTATTGTTTGGACTAGGGAAGCTGAAGGGCGCTGCACTGAACGCGGAGCCCTCTGGTGTGTAGCCAACAGAGCTTTGAATGCCGTGGACTAAGGCATTGTTTGTGCCAGCATCGAGACTGCACAACTCAGAGCCCAACCCTGGTCCCCTTGCTCTGGTGGCAGAGCATGTGAATCAGCCCCTTGATGGCTGATGCTGCCCTGCTTTCTGCGCTTGGTTCCAACATGTCCGTTTTCCCTTGCCACTAGGAATTGGGGATATGCAGATTGATTGGCATGGCAGCGGACACACTTGGAGGCGAGTGCCAATGGGCTGGTCTCGGAGTTGGGTCTGGGATCTGACAGACTTGTGGGTTTTATTTTGGTTAACAGTTTTTGTTTGCTGTCAGCTGTCAACGAACTCTCTTGTGAGTTTTGGTCAAGGACATGTGAGATGTGTACGGGCTGCTGTTGTTCCGACATGGTAGCGATTTGCCTGTGCTGCATCGACATGCTGCTCTCTGAATGTGAGCTGCAGCGCTGCTTCTCGAATTTCTTATTGCCAATGAACACGATCCTCCAAACAAGGCCACGATGATGCAGCAAGCTGTCAGTCAAGTAGTCTGCACCTAATTGGTTGTAGCAAGACGAACGGCACTGCAGTGTGGACACCTTGCCGCAGGGAGTAGCACAAGTTGTGCGACCTTGTTTGGGAGCCACAAGACCAATCAGAAATTTACTCCAGAACTGGATATGACTTGCAACATGTCACCATCAACAATACCGATGTGACACCACGCACGGCTGGATCAAGAATGCTAACAGAAGACAAGTGAGATGAAACCACCAATGAGCTGCAATGCCCCGCACATTCGTGTCATGCAAGCAGCACCCCGCATGTGAGAGCACATCCCTGTCGAAAATGCAGTCTCCACTTGTACAAGGACTCCTCAACCTCCCCAACATACATTTATCCCGCTCACAACTGCTGTGCCTGTTTTCGGATCAGTTGTAAATGCTGAAAAACTGAACATCGTTGGATGCAGATCCACAGGAGGAGTGTGTCTTGTGTGTCTTCAAGCCCATCCCCTCCACAGTCATGTGCAACCAGCCACAGAACCCCCCACGGCATTTCATGTTGACCCTGATGAATCTGCATCGCCGCTGACCGCATACCTCTGCTCTGAACAACTCTCAGACCAGACTGGTCGACACGAAAACGTTTCTTGCCCCATTGTGGCGTTATCCGGCAGCGGTGGGTGGGATCTGTGCAATGGCTGCAGTGGCTGCGGTTTTCTGCACTCATCCCTTGGACCGAATGTCGTCAAGCTGCACTCCCGTAGGCAGAATCGATTTTTCGCAGGGCCTAAACACCCATCCCGGTCCCGCCATAAACTCCGCCGCAGCTCTTCCAATGCCCTCACTGGGAACGTTGGCGTCGAATGGGAACTTCACTGATGGCGAATATCGTGCCACGAAGAATTGGCTGGTGCAAGAGATGTGGAGCTGAAGCAGTGAGGCAGACATGGAGCAAAACATGGAGTAGGCGCCCTGCGCAGCACAGAGCTCAAAAGCTGCGATGCAGCCAATGTGGGCAGCCACCCAGGGTAGGCTGCCTGAACAGCCGCATTTTTTTGCCGGAATTCGTAACGTTAGTGGTCACTGGGCTTTGTGAATTTGATATGCACGGCTTTGGTTCTCACAACTAAACCGACGAGGAGGGCGACAGGAAAGCTCACATGAAGGCGGATGTACAGAAGGCGATGAAGCAACGTAGCTCCGTGTTAGCTCGGTGTATGTCTTTTGCTTTGCAGATGATGGACCTACCATTTCACGCAGTAGGCGACACATATTCATGAATTCAACCTGTGTTGTGTAGAAAAACGCCATAGATTGTGCAGATTAAAGAAAACGTGCGGAAACAAAAATACAAAGTATAAAGCAAGGGATTGGAACACACATGAGGGTTCCAACCAGCGCAAATTGTCGCATTTGCAGAATGCAGGACGGCACCGTTTGCGGGCGTCTGTGCTTACCAGTGTGAGCATGCAAGGTTGGCCATTTCAATCCGTTCTTGGATTTGCTACTTTTCTGTACAACAATGTGTCGCTGATATTGAGTCACGAGAGACACGCAATTCGCCGCACGTCACTCTCGCGAAACGAAAGATCCAGCCTGAGAAGAAAATAGACAGGGGAAACTGCACTTCAGCTCAATGCTCTGACATAGATTAGATACGATTTATTTGGACTCCACTCACTGCGATGATGTGAAGTACGTGGAAGTCACGCTCCTCAATCAGGTTTTTGAATCCCCAGGGCACAAGGGCAGTTACGAGGCCAAGGCACGCCAGTGTCGCGGCCAGCCTCGGGACCACCCTGAAGCACCTCTGCCAGACAACGCATCCCAGGCAGGCATCACCCACGCCGCCCAAAAGGAAGTTTGAACGAAGTTGCAGTGCCTCGTCGAGCTGCATTCGACCAATCGCTGGGGCGTCCAGCCTGCATCGCGCCATGAGATATTCGCGCACTCGGCAGACAGCACACCTGATGAATTGGCGGTGGCTACAGACAGAAGCATCCCAGTGGTATTTTTCTCCACGTTACGCTCAATCGTGGGCCACGTGAAAGAACAGGTGCAATGCCTCAAATGCAGGAGACCATCAACCAGCAACAGTTTGCGTATCGGCGAGTTTTAAACAGTCAACGTCCAACCTGCGTTAAGCGAACAAAGTTCGCGTTAAGTAGGGAGGGGGTCCGCACTGCCGTGGCCAGAACTTTATGTTATTGCTCCGAAATCGATTTAAGAAGGGAAGGGGTTCACGAGCCCTTTACCCTGTTCCAAAACCGCCCAATTCGTCTGTTGCCTGTCGAGAGTTCTGCGCGGCATGTGCTGCAAGTTTTCACTCCGAAAACATCGGGCTTCCATGGAACAGGCCTGCGGCGAACGTCGCCTGCTGACGGTTGTGAAGGCGGAACATTGGGAGGGACACAAGATACCTTTTCTGACAGAAGGTTCAACGGCGATATCGTTCTTGTTGCCAGAGAAATCGCTGTGCTGCATTAAATGCCGCGAAATCCCGTATCTCAATGTCCCGAAATTGCAAATTCCAGTCGGGCTGTTCGCAGGCGTGGCGTATTCCTCATCTTGCAGATGGCGTCAATGGCAGAAGATGCGCCAACGGTGCTCTCGTGGTAAAGCACAAATTCCTTGCGCTGATTCTGCGCATCTCATCCGGGGTTCTCGAATCGCCTCGTTCCCTACCCTTGAGCGCATGGAAAGCGATGAATGCAGGCTCACCGTTGCATGGCAGCTGTGGCGCTCTCCCACAGACATGGCCCCTC